CTGGTCTCCTTTATTGTGAATCGCTCTGGTTCGAGTAACATTTGTTCAACATCCTAAGAAACGAATGGTCCAGCTACTAAACAAAACTTTTATAAGAAAAGAAATGATTTGAAACATGTTCTGGATTCAGCTTACCTTAATAAAGTTAACTGGATTAGCTGCCAGAGATATATCTCTTTGTGAATTACTGGATAAATTTGTGACTCTTTTCCCCAGGGCTCTGAATTGAATCCATTCAATATTTACTGAGTGCCTACACTATATGCAAGGCCCTGTGCTGGGCCCGGGGGCAATCTGGTGTTCTGTTCTGTTAGATATAGTCCCTGAATCCATAAGAAAGTAACAAAAAATGTAAATGATGAGGACAGGAAAGAAGAAACAGGAGGAGGAGGTGTGCTGTGTTAGGGTAGCCATAAATAAGGAAAAAGAAGTCTTTCAACAGTAGTCTTTTATAAGGGGAATAAAAAAGACATTTTTGGCTAACCCCCAAGCTAAATATTGCAAAACATAACCAGAGGGATTTAAAAGAAAAATGCAACAATTGTCTCCTGCATAAATAACATTCTTTTACTACGTAGCTAATAATATTATAATAACCAATAGGTTACCCTTTTGTGGGGCTTTCTCTTTTATACCATTAAAGTAGCAAAAGCAAGTGATTCCCTATCAGCAGATTTGTTCCCAAGGGAAGACTATTAGTTTTTCATGTGTGGTGCCAGAGTATCTCCTTCTCTTCCTCCCCCACCCCCTTTACTTCCTACTTTTCTTCTTTCTTTCTTTTTTCTATTTCATAAACATTTACTCAAAATACTTAAAAGTTAACAAGAAATTTCCAGGTTTTGCTATTGTTAAATTACATTGATTAGAAATGCCCTCTAATGATTAACTACACTGGCCCATCACACGTGGGATATGGAATTCCACAGTCCCTTGACCTCAGAGGACAGGTAGGAGTCTAGATTCTCATGTGTTATAAGCAGAGACAAAAATGTGCTGGTCAAAGTGAAGAGTACAGAATAACTCTAACCTTCCCATTTATGAGCACTTTCAGAGGGGCGGTGAAGGTAATGGCCTGGAGAGTTCATGTCCTGTCAGTAAGTGCAGGGCTGGGATGTTCAGTGATGAGAGGCTCCTTCAGTATATTCACAAACAAAAAACACAACACTGGCCTTTTGCAGGGTCTCTATTTAGTAGGATTCAGGGCTAAAGGATTTTTTGTTTCTTACTGTATGAATCCAGAAGGCTAACATCAGGCTCTGCAAGTGCCCCAAATAGCTATTGAAATTATATGTATTGAAGTATTTGGGGGTAAAGGCTTTATCTAGATGCTGACCTGTACTTAAGGTAGGGTCACTGTTGCCTGTTGCTTTCATTTCTTCCAGATTTTATGAACCTCAGCCCTTTCACAAATGGGCAACTATGCTAAACCCCTCCTTACTCTCTTTGCCTACTATTTGTAGAACTGAAGGGGATGAGGGGAGGAAGGAGGGAGGGAGGGAGAATTGACTGATTCTGGTATATATAACACCCTAATTTTAGCAAAAGAATTACAGAGAAAAAAAAAAGAAAAGAAAACATGAGAGTGTCAGCAAGAGCTTGCATATACATAAATACCGATATTTGGCATTTCAATGCAAGCTGCTCACTGGTGGAGTTACATAAAAAGCAAACAGTCTCATCTGAACACCTCTGTAGACCTTTAGTGAATGGAAGCAATCATAATTGCACTTTATTCTATTTTATTTTAATTTATGTTACCTCTTTCTAAAATTATTTCAGGCATCAGTTCAATCATTATATTTGAGTGCTTATATTAAATTCAATTTAAAAAACAATTTTTACAACTTTCCCCTAATTAAGGGTGAAAAAATAACTGGAGAATATGGAACAGGGAATTAATTGCCTGCTATCCCACTATTCACAAGACCATTGTTGACACATTTACATCTTTTTAATTTCTTCTTTCTTATGAGTGAGAGTGTAAAAATTGGAGTCATGCTCTATACATAGTATTATATTTCACTTTTTTTCACATAACTTTACTATAGATTTACATAGATAAACATATATTTCTCTACTTTCAGTGTCCACCTGATAGTCCACTGTATATCCACAGCATGCTTTATTTAACTAGTCCCCTATTGTTGGATATTTAGAGTATTTACAATAGGCCTTTTTCTATGGATTTTTAGGTCTGAGTCAAGCCTAGCAGGAATATTTCCACATTCCCTTTCTGTCCTATAGATTTTGGGATAGAATCCCTTCCACAAGGTCTATTAACCCCATTCATATAAGGACTTTGCAGTTCATGACCACACGCCACACTGTTTCAACATGTTAAAGAAAATGACTTCCATCTAAATTATCTGATGAGATCTTACTCTTGCACCAACAGTGAAAACCCCGAAGAGAACAAAAATGGGAGGTTTCATTATTATTGAAAGATGTCTACCTCTCTTGTTTATTTGGCTTCTCTTTTGCTTAAATCTGATCATTAAATAGCAATTTTCCAAATCCTTGACACTTTCAGGCCCCAGAGGTATATACATTTAGACAACTATAACTATCTTAGCAAAGTTCCAATTAAAAAGAACTTTCTCCAGTGATATTAATGTCTAGTCAAGTAGCTTTTAAATGCTATTATTGTTAAATGCAAAACAACAATGTAAAACTAGACTGAAGACTGAAAGCTACACCTGAACACATTTTACCAAATTCCATTTCTTCCTATGCATGCAATAATTTTATACCCTCATAATTATAATTTTCTCCCTGAGCCCTATATCCTTAACTTTTACATGTTACCAATTAGATTTCATGAATACAAACCTACGTAAATTTTTAAAAATTGAGTCTCATTTGTTGAGTACTTGACTTGTTTCTAACTGTACAATAATATAAAAAATTCTGCAGTGAACATCTTAGCTCTTTTTATTCTTCTAAATGATTTCCTTAGGCTAAATTCCCAGAAGTGTAAATAAACTACCAAAGGCTATGAACACTTTTATGCATTGCCACAATGCTTTCCAAAGCAATTGTATTGCTACCAGTAAGATATGAACTCGGCAGCTTCACCAATATTCTACCCTCAGGGACTGTTACGCTCTAATAATGACTTCATAATTTGACAGATGTACAATGGTAACTGCTCATGGTTTTTAATCTATGTATTTCTATGGATTACTCTCTCAAAAACCCAGGGAGCTATGTGCAGAATTCTCCCTGGCACAGTGTGTGGAGCAGTAGTCAGAATAAGCAGATACATAAATTCAGTGGGTCACTCCAGAGCAATTTCAGTTCATTGAGACATCTCCCCTCTTCTAAATAAAAGATGACCTAGGGAGTTGATACAAGTTTGTATCTCCTTATATCTAAGACTGCATCATCCTCACAATGATTTAACCCAACTATTTAAAACCGAAGGTCAGTTTTCCTGGAGACTAACAATATGCAACCTAGATTTATTTGATATTAGGGCTGTTATAAACATGACAGGGAGAAATGTTTGTTATGACACAGTTTATTTTTACATGAGCATCCTCTATACCAAGAGTCATAAAACATTTTATAGTGATACATAAGCTAATGGTCCTTGTAGAATGCTGATTTTTCAATGTTTATTTAACTTGTGATGAAAAATTGGTTGTTTTATTTTCTGGCAGGTAACAGCCATCTTTCCAACAACTATGTTAAAGAAAATATTCCCAGAGGTTAAGAAAAACCAGAAACTTGGAACATTATGATTTACCCTCTCCCAGTGCCTCACACAGAGCCAAGGAAACATAACATTGTGGGGGAAACAAAAGAGAGGAAAGAATTAGGAAACAACATCCTCACCAACAGGGAAAAATCTGTCAACCAAGTAATATTTTTTCCTGAAAGATGTGAAAAAAAACACTCTCTTGTCTTTTCTCAGTAAGTGTACAACTCCTCAGATGCTCTCAGTGTTTGGCTGATATGACATTTAAGTGATAAAGTAAGACAATTCAAAGTTCGCCATATCAAACGTAGCAATAGCTCCCCAAGGAACAAGAAAGAAGAATCAACGGCTGTACTGTTGGATGCTTTAGGCCCGTGGTATTATTTTCATAAATTAAATTTATAACTGGCTGGCTTGCTTTCTTTTGCTTTTTCATTGAAGTCAAAGCATTGTAACTCCCATCGAGATGATGCTGACAGTTTTCAAATAGATTTCTTGGCTTTCTCTTTTCTTTTAGCTCCAGTCCCTTAGTGCAGAAACTCTGCAAAATGCTAGCTTCCAAGGGAATAAAGTGTAGGTAAGGTTCTTCTAAAACCACACAAAAGTGACTTGGCTGGTTAATGGTAAAGCCTTTTATTCTCCAAGGACACAAGTTCACAATCTGGAATCAGGAGAATGTCTCATTGGGTTGTAGAGTAAATGACTCACTATCTAAAATGCAGAAATTCAATGTTTGATTGTTATTCACTTGAGGGTTCCCCTGATCCTTTGCTAAATACAGTTCATTTAGTCTTCTCTCTCAAATTCCATGCTTTCTACTATTGTACTACTGGAAGGGAAAGAGATGAATCCCAATCAGGTTTTTTTGTTTGTTTGTTTTTGCAATTTATACAATGGCTAATTAAAAGAAATGCTTGAAGCTTGGAAAAGATCACACATTATGGCAAATGCAACCTTTGGCAAAGTTGATGGCAGAAACAAAGAAGCCTTGGGGGGATGAAACGTTCAGTGGAGAGAATGTTTTTGAGTTTATGGGTCTGGGTTCCAATCTTAGTTCTAAATCCTGGTGCAATCCTGGACTAGTCACCTAATCTTCTTAACCCAGCGGTGTTATCTATAAAATGGAATAGAGAGCTACCTCACAGAATAATTGTGATGATTAAATAAGATGATAATTTAAAGGTTCTTGTATGATGCTTATCCAGTATGATGCCTGGGAAAGAGCAGGCAAAGAATAAATGGCTATTGATTCTGCTATTGCTATGGCCAGGGGTTTAAGTCATTACCTCATCCATTCCAGCTTCCCTGAGAAGAAACAGCAATGCTCAAGAAGTGGAGGCTGCTGGCAAAATGTTAGCGAAGTGGTGCATTATCTTACTATCCCTGTAAAACTCTTCCTCCCAGGATACTGACCACAAAGCCTAGTGAAAAAGGTAATTAACAAAGAAGGTCATGACCTCTTCATGGGTCATGATCAACATCACCCACAATGACCAATATTTATTGAGCTTTTCAAATATCAACTGGATAGAGATAAACATACTGGTAGGAACCAGAGGTTGTGGTTTTAAATATCTTTCCATATTGACTAATAAGATGGCTCCCTGGAAACACATACAAAAATAAATAAGTCTTTTGAAATTGTTTCAGTGTGCATGTCAGAAAATTAGTTAAGGCATAAGTCAGGAGAACTAAAAGGTCTTAAAAGAAAAGGTTTAGAGTTAAAATGGTACTCAGTCAACATACACAATGCTAAAGGGATGATTTAGAAAGTGCCAGTGGGGTGTGGAGGAGCCATGGAGGATGAGACTGTACCCTGAGCCTGGTAACAATAGCGGGGAGGGCGGAAGAACATAAGGGGGAAATGGTCACTGGAACACAGAGACAGAAACAACTGTGTGGAGTGGATGTCTAAAAGAGCTGTGATTTTCACACCAGCACCAGCCTGACATGACCTTGCAAGGTGGGAACTGCGAGAATAAATCCTCCAACCTCACTCTTTTCCCTCCCGCTGACCTACCATTAGTGCTCCCACTGGCTAAACCCAACCAGAAGCCAGAGGGCAAGAGAGCCTTTGGTTGCAGTCTATGTGGGTCACCCTCCCAGGGCAGAGGGCACGGTCGTGGATAAAGAGTGGATCTGGGAATGCAAATGAAGGATCTCCAATTGTCCCATACACCAGGCAAGATGAAACCAAGTTAAGGTGGGAAAGGTCCTAGACCAGATGATGTTTTAAGCAGGGATTGCATCTTGCCCACTTTTGTAACCCTAGTGTCCAACAATTGTCTAGCTCAGAGTAAGCACTCAATAAATATTTGTTTTAGAAAGAGCAGGATAGCTTGGTATTCACTTCAGTATTAGATTTTTTAAGAAGAACATTTTCAATTTGCTAGTAAAGTGATCAAACACTTGTCTCTGCAGTCTTAGAGAAATATGAAAATAGACAAAGTGACAAAAGTTTGGCATGTGAAGTCAAAACTGTCATATCTCCAATGAGCTGTGCAAGGTGGTTCTTCACATGAATGCATTCACAGCAAAGTTTGTCTCCCTCTCAGCATGTAAAAGTCCTATACTAATGTTATTCACTCACATAAATGGAGCACCCACAATTCACCTAAAGTAGTAATGCTTTTAGGTTAACATTTTGAGGAGCAAATTTAAAGAAGAGTGAAAAATGAAATAATTCTGCAAATTTCAAAGTTAAGCTTCCACTATTAAATTGTTTTAAAAACTTTGTATCTTTTTTTCCTATTAAAAGTCTTTGTAGTTTTATTTTTGATCAGAAGATGGTAAAATAATTGTGCTGGGATTAGACTTTCTAAACCTTAGCCATAATTTCTACAAACGATGACTAAATATAAAACGTTAGGAACAGTTTCAGCAGGACAAATGATGTTTGACTACAGGTTATACACTGGGATGCCTTTTAGCACAGTGTATTTTAAATAGCAATATAGTTCACATAGCAATCTAGCACACACTCAGATATATACTAGGTCACAATGTAAAATATTTTTCTTAATGTATATCATGGTCAAGCATTTTGAGATACCCCACCCTAAATGTCAATCTGGTATTTGCCCTTCTGAAAACATATTTAATCAGTGCTATTGATACATATGTATCCTCTATCCATGGGGCACAAATACTGTGTCTTTCTATGTGCCATGCATGCCCATAAGTTGTATTCTTTTCTAGTCTGCTTATTTCTTTTTTGAAAAATGCTGACTGCCACACACTAAATTAATTTCAAGACCCCCTAATGGGTAGAGACCTACAGTTTTAAAAGGCTTGATTTGGCTTAGCTCATACATAAGTGCCAACTTCAGAGAATAACAAAGTGCAAGGCAGCCTAAAAAAGAAATGATGGGGACTGAAGACACTAAAGAGAGAAACAACGGAGTAATTTATCCAGGGGCCTATGGAGATGTCCAGGCCCATTTTATATTAAGAGTTGGGAAGAAGAGCAGGAAACAACCTTCTGATTCACTCACTCATACATTTTTTCCCCATTAATTCAACCATTCATTCCACAAACTTTGAGCTCCTGCTCTGTGCTGTGCCCTGAGGATAGAGAGATAAAAGGCACAGCACCTACGCCCTCCAGAAGCTTACCATCTGGGAAGACGGAGATAAGCATGGACATAGTTACTATGTGAATGACAATAGCTGCTCTAGATGTACAGGGTACCAAGGAAACAGAAAGCCATATGGTCAGCCACACTGGGATAGTTAGGTACACTGCCCAGAGGAGGCCAAGCTAAAGACAGACAGATCTTCAAGAACCTGCCCAGTTTGCTTTTTCAGGGTTACAGTCAGGGTAACCTCGGTCTGAATCCTTATTCTGTCTTTCACCTGAGTGACCTTGAACAACATCTTCAACAACCATAAACAACCTGAGCCTCAGTTTTTCCATCTATAAAATGGAAGGGTAATAACGCACACCTATGGGACTGTGGCAAGGATTAAGCTGGATGATGTACACTCAGGGGACTAGCACAGCCCCAAGAGTCCAACACCTGCTCACCGCTGTCATCACTCTGTCAGCATTCTGTCACCCTCTCAAAGCTGGTGGCAAGAGCTCCTGTGCAAAATGGAATCCCGAACTTGTAACCAGCACAGCACATGTCCAGGTTGAGGTGGAGACCATGGCCTGACGTCTTTAGGGAAGGGAGAAATGAAGTAAAGGCTCCAGCAAGAAGCACAGTTACTTTGGAGATTCTGGCCCTGAAGTTTTAATACTGCTATCTGAAGTGTTCAGTTGTGTAATTTTAAATATTCTGATGTTTTTGAAGCTTAAGGGCACTGGGTATAGTTGCTTAGAGATGAAATGTAAACTAAGGTGCAATCAGCTATCAGACTCCAAGGTCTGCCATGGCCAACCACCAGGAGAGAGATGACTTAAACCTAAAGCACAGTTTATCAGAGTTGTGCTAAGATTCAAATGATAACTGATCACTGATCACTATGTGTTTTGCATAGTTAGTGTATTTTATGGACGGTGTGAACTACCAGCAGATATGACTTATAAAGAACAATTTTATAGGTGAGAAGAAAAAGCAAAGCTAGATTTAATAAGATAATGACCAGTCTTGACTGCCAGGATTAAATTTCCACACCTAGTTTTCCTAAATTAGATATTTCTGTGCTATGACCTTACTTCAATAAATAAGACACTCAAATACAATGATCACAAATATTACTCTAACTCCCCTGACTCAAAGCCCACAGAAGCCTAATCCAACCACTGTAAAATATGTTACCACTTCTTCTCTTACCCAGTCAACCAAAATGCTTAAAATTTTTGAATTTCTGAGTCTCCCACCTAAGTCATTTCATCTAAAAAAGAATTTAGCCACATTATCAGGCTAATGTTTCCATTGAGAATGATTTCAGCAGTGTGTAGAAGAAAAGTAAATGCTCTTTAAAAGACTCCATCTCTATGTATTAAATCAAATAAATGAAAGATAAGAGGATGCTGGTTCAGGTTATAATATTGTTACTACCGAGAGCAATTCCTAATACAAATGAAGAATAATGAAGTCAGGCCCATTTAGCAATTGTCTTTGATGGCAATGCCAACTCCTGGAAACCCACAGTGATGTGATGACACTTCAGATGCAATAGTGAGATTTTCTGTAGCACCTAATTTACTGGCTGGAATCAAAGTTCAGCTGATTCTTGGCAGACAGACCAGAGGACCAATGACAAAAGAAAAAGAAATGAGAGAGGGACTTCTTGGTCAACAGTGGATGAAGAACTTAGCAAAATTCATCCCTGAGGACTTTTCCAAGTTGTATGATTTCTAATGAAATGACTGACCACAAGCTTCCATTTTGTCTCAAGTTTTATGCTTAAGACATCATGGCATGAAGACAAATAACCCAATTAAAAAATGGGCAACATATTTGACATATCTCCCAAGAATAAATATAAATGGCCAAAAGCTTATGAAAGATGCTCGATATCATTAGTCATTATGGAAATACAAACCAAAACCACAGTGAGATGCCACCTCACACAGACTAGGATGGCTATTAAAAAATAATGACAAGTGCTGGCAAGGATATAGAGAAACTGGAACCCTCATGCATTGCTAGTAGGAACATAAAATACTGCAGGCACTGTGGAAAACAATTTGCAAGTTCCTCAATATATAAAACACAGAATTATCGTATGACCCAGCAATTCCACTCATAGGTATGTGCCCAAAAGAAATGAAAACCAGTTTTCAAACAAAGATTTTTACAAGATTGTACATAGCAGCACTATTCATAATAGCCAAAAGTTAGAAACAATTCAAATGAAATATCAACTGATGAACGGATAAACAAAATGTGATATATTCATACAATGGATTATTATTTAACTATAAAAAGGAATGAAGTACTGATACATGCTAAAACATGGATGAACCTTGAATGCATTATGCTAAGTGAAAGACACCAGACACAAAACTTCACAAATTATATGATTTCACTTATATGAAATATCCAGATAAGCAAATTCATAGAGACAGAAAGCAGACTAGTAAGGGCCTGGGAGAAGGAGACTAGGGAGTAACCACTTAATGGGTATGGCTTTTCCTTTTAGATGATAAAAATAGTAGTGGAATGGCTAGACAATGCTGTAAATGTACTAAATGCCACTGAATTGTGCATTTTAAAATGGTTAAAATGGTAAATTTTATATAATGTGACACACACACACACACACACACACACACACACACACACACACACATGCACACACACACACCAGCTCCAGAAGTTCCACATAGAATTGAAGGATGTGCTTAGGGGTAGCAACATATTTGACAGAAGTGTAAAGTCTTTGCCATCAAAAGTGAATTTGTTAAGCATAAACATGGTTTTCATTTGGATTAGCTATCTACTTAGGATGGCTAGTAATAAGGGACTGATGGAGATCAAATTACCGGAACCACCCCATTGTGTTGCCAATGTTAAAACAACTCATAGAAATAGCCAGTTTTTCCTTTTTAAAATAATCAATATGGTATACTTGTAGTGGACGTACAGAGATTAAAACAGACTTTATGTATTCAACAGAGTTCATATTTTGTTACTGTATTTATTAAATGAGCACAGCCTATAATTTCTGCTGCCAATGCCACCACTTTTCTCCCTTGCATAATGGAAACACTGCTAATTTTCTTCTCCACCCCACTGGCAATTTTTATTGTTTTGTATAGCAACAGGGAGCAAGCATGTTTACATAGTTGTAATAAGCTACTCCTCTCAGCAGTCCACAATAAAGTCCCTTCTATCCCTGTATTTCTCTATTAGACAACAATGCCTTATTGTCCAAGGACACTATTTTAATTTGTTAGCCCATCTTGAATCTAAGTTTAAAAACAAGAAAATGGAAGGAACCATATTACTCAGAGCCGATAGCTTAGAGGTTGTTTCTGTACAACTTGAGCAGAGGTATGTGCACTCCCAGGGATATTTACTGACATGCTAGGAAGTATATAAATCCCAGAAATAATACAGTACATCTCCCTGAATTGTCAGTTTCACTCCATGATAAGGGATTTAAGAACATAACTTTTATATTAAAACAGATACATTATAGAGCAAGATGCAAGATCCACATGTATTTTTAAGATTATACAAGATGTAAAAAAGAAATTTCTCACTAGCTTTCAGACTGTGAAGGGGCAAGTTAATTCTCCTCAGCCTCTAGGAATATGTAGAAGCACTTTGTAAACCACAGACCATACAGACGGCAGCAGTGTTGCACTGCGTGTACTGGGAAACAATAAGCCACAGAGAAAAGTCACCATCTTGTTGTATGTTTGTATTGTGCTTTTTAGTTAGTTCATAAAGTGTTTTTACATATTTAATTCATTCAATCCTTATGATGTCCCTGTGGGGTGGGCATTTATGGAGAAGGGTAGGAGGTCTTGAAAATTTAAGCAATTTTCATTTATAGGGTTAGTAATACTCAGACTAAGAATACAAGGTACCCTAAAAGGCAAAAACAAACAAACAAAAAATCTGGCTAAATGAGGGATGGAGTTTTAATTCATGCAACTGCATTCTGTTCCCAGAGAGGAGGCAAAGAGTTCTTTTCTATATTAATTGAAATAAAGAAAGCAGTGGGCACAATGGAAAGTGGGGTTGAAACCTTATAGCTAAAACCCCCAAACCTGTACATTGAATGGTGAGATCTTCAGCATCCTACCAACCAAGGTTACATAGCCAGGAGATTGGAGTGTTTCCTGGAGAAATCAAATGTCTCCCTAGAGTAAAACCTACATATACTAAATTAGGAGTCCTAATTAGAAAAACCAGCTCACCAAGTCCAAGCTAAGTGCACACCAAGCCCTCTACTGAGCACACAAGTTTCTGGAAGTCTTTATCTTTGCTTTATTCTTTAATATAAATCAGCAGCTAAAGAGTGAGGAAAGCTTCCAAAATAAAAGCCAAAAAAAAAAAGTCAAAACAAACAGAAATGAAAGGAAAAGACAAAAATAATACGCATGTCTGTGCAGGAAATGTGAGAAAATATAATGACATAATGTAAACGAGAAATGATATGGTATTCATAAGATAAGGACAGGTTGTTATGAAATAGAAGCAATCTGAAAATTCAAAAGAACTCTTGCAAATAAAAAAAAAACTAATAGCTATTAAAAACCTAATAATTGAAATATACATTTAAGGAACTCTTCCAAAAAGAATAAAAGAATCAAAAGATGAAAGTTGGGGAAAGAACAGAAAGTTAGAGAACAAATCCATATCTAATATAAAATTAACAGAACTTCCAGAAAAATAACTAAAAAAAAGATAAAAGGACATTATACATATATCAGAAAAATAATTCAAGAAAAATTTCCAGAGTGTAAGAACAAACTGGATTTTACACATTCAAACTTTTCAATTGAAAAGACCCACACTTAAGCATATCACATTGAAATATCATAATTTCAGAAATGAAGAAAAATTCTTAAAAGTTTCTAATGAGAAAAAATCAGGTCAGGCACAAAGGAGCAAAAAAAAAATCAAAATAATATCAGTCCTCCCAATAGAAAATGATGGGACAAAAGTTCCCCTCCAAAACTTTTAGGGGAAGGAATTCCCAGCTAAATTCTATACCTAACCAAACTATCAATCAATCAGCTATGAGGGTACAATAAAGACTCAATCATATGAAAATGCCAAAAGCTTATCTTTGTTATCCACCCTTTTTTCTTAGGAAACTTCTGAAAGACGTAACTCAACAAAATGAGGGTATTAACCAAGAAAGAGGAAAACAAGGACCCAGAAACTGGAAGTCCAACAAATATACTGGGGAATCTTATAGTGACAGCTATGCAAGAGGTCTGAGGACAGCTTGCCCAGATGTGGCAATATATTTGAACACTAGGGGAAAAGAACTGATGGGCACATGGCTGATATGGACTATTTAAAAAATTGTGCAAGTAAAAATACAAGGAAACTAATGTGACTTAGAAGAAAGTTCTCTAAGAAAAGAAACATAACCACAATATATTTCCTGGCTTTGCAATAACTAGTGCTTATGCAGTTTTAAACACTGAACTTTTTCATTAACCAAATGTTATGATAATGCTATCCTGGAGGAAAAGATAAAGAATGTGTATGCAGACATGAGAGGAATAAGTTCTCAACTGCCATCACAGGAGTTTCATAGAAAATGTCTAAAATTGAGACTGCCCATTGAAGACTAACAAATCACTTGAAAAGACCCACATTTAAACATATATCACATTAAAATATCATAATTTCAGGATTATATGCATATGTATATGTCATCTCAAGGAAGAGAATTGATTGCTGCTAGAGGTAAGAATGAGCAGTGGGGAGCGTGGGTGGGCTGGTATCTGAAAACAGATTTTTTAAATATAGGTATGCATTATTTTCATTAAAAAATTAATTTAAAAAAGAACTCCATGTTGTCCAGTAATAGTGAATTAAAAGAAATTTTGATATAACTAATACACTAGGATGCTACACAGCCATCAGATACCACAAACAATCTGTTCCCAAAAGAAAGAATGTTCACGATATATTATTAGGGGGAACATAAAAGGAGGTTACAACAGTATATGGTATGACCCCATTTTTGTAAAACACACTCACAGTGTGTATATATACTGTGGCTACAAAATAAAACATAACTCCCAGTCCAGTCCAGTCTAATTTTGATACAATGTGTTTGTCAATAAGATTCAGGGGTTCTCAAACTTAGCATGCATGAGAAGCACCTGGAGGGCTTGTTTCAACAAGGAAACTTTGGTCCCAGTGCCAAAGTTTCTGATTAACAGTTCTGGAGTGGACCCCAAAAATTCACTTGCTAAGATGTTCTCAGGAGCTGCTGCTGCCAGTCAGGGATGACACTGAACACCACCGAGATTGTTATATGCAGGGTCTTCTGACACACTTGGCCCAGCCTGGGCATAAGGGGAGGCTTTGCGGAGAAAACACTACCAAGTCACATCCTAAATGGTTCTCAGAGGTCTCTGAAGTTCTTACCAAAGTAGAAAACCCTTTTCAAATGCTGACAGACCTCAATGGAAATTTTGGATTTACCAGTGATAAGGTCATACACATTAACTACAAACCTCACATTTCTTTGCTTCGGACTGGAATTCTCTAGTCAGTACTAGTTACTTCAGAGAAATCAGCAGCTCTGCTTGGTGTTTTATATGCCTTTGATTAACAAAATGGAGAAATGAAGATACTTTTTCTTAAAAATTGTAGTAGGATGACCCAAATATCCTGCCATAGGGACGACTGGGAGGGGGCCCGAGTCTTTGTGCTGAGGGAGGAAGGGAGACTGGATTCAGTCTAACAAGCAGGGGGTGTAAGGCTTCATCAGCTTGTTAAGAGACAGCCAGGACCGCTTTCTGTTGGAACTCTGCTCAGTGTTAGAGGCTGCTGTTCATCTCCCTAGAAAAGAAGCAACATGGAAAGTGGAGAAGGACTAACACAAGCGACTCCCTGCCAGAGCTCAGACATTATCCTATACACTCGGAAGTCCCTGCCAGGAGAAGCCCATCCCCAGGTGTTTAGGATGGTAAGGACTCATCAGAAAACCAATCCCTGCTCATATGTGGGCCAGCTACTTTCCCCTCATTGATTTTTTTCACATTTTATGTTTTTCTCCTAAGAATGAAAATAAAGGAGACTTGTAATATAAAATTGAGACAGTATAAAATACATCCCATGAAGTCATTTACTGAGCATCGCCCAGGTTGAAGGCACTGAGCACTACCGCAGAGAGAGAGGTGCCCAGTCTTCTTCCAGACAGTGTAAGTGCTTGCCCACGAGCAAGCAGTCACTGGGGAACACCACCACCCACACTCGAAATGCATAAGCAGAGACTGAACAACAAATTTCCTTTGATTTAGGAATTCACAGCCTGGGGTCTCATGGCTGGCTTCTGTTGCTCACTATGTGTGACCCTGGACAAGCCTCCTTTTCCTTATCTGCAATCAGAGACAGAAAGAACCTCTCCCTCTCTCCTTATTTTACAGGGTGGATGTAGAAATCCAGTGACACCAAAACCAAGAAAATACTCTGGAAAATAAAGGTCTTATACAAATGTATGGTCACGCTGTTGCCATTTTATCTGCCAGAGAGTTTCAAAATGGTTATTTTTTAAGATAAGAACAGCATAGGAAGCTGTTTATGAGCTGATTCTTGAAAATATCTCCAGTTTTATGATAGTGTTTCATGAACTTGCTGTCTTTAACTGGATCATGGGCCTAGCACAGTCAGTGGCCCAGAATTGGTAGTGAGTAAAAATTGTTAAATAAATGGGTAAACAAACATAGAATCTGTCTGGGAGAATTATGGAACATATTTCAAGCATACAGGGAATTTTCTTTTCTTTAGTCTCCGAAAAACGAATGGAGAATCATCTATTAAGACTTCATCTAACTCCAAGGGTCTATAATCTGATCCATTTTTAGAAAGAGGGATACTAAAGTGTTGCCGTGCTTGTAGAGGTTGCCACTGGTAGAGGAAATCTCTGGGTGTGTCTACAATGAAGCCCATAAGCAGACAAGCCTATCACAAATTAAAAGCTAACCCTCCTTCTCTAGAAGAGTGCCAACTTCTTTGCTTCTGATTCTGTGAGAAAGAAGTTAATTCCAGTTACCTAAAACAGTGGTCTCAAGTACTCTGATGAAAACTTGTATTAAGAAATAATTGGAAATACCATATTCTGCACTTCCACAGTTGTTAAATTTGCCAAATCACACCCATTATAGAGTCTTCTAGAGAGCAGGAGTAAACAGCATTTATGTGTAATATAATTCCCTTGCCATCTCTCTTGGTTAGAAAGCTGGTTTCTTTATACATAAAGCAAGATTGAAAAGCCTTACTTTCTATCATAATATCTTCATTTTCAATTCATTTTGTTTCAAGATTCACAAAATAATTTTTATGGAGCATCACACTGTGCTTTGAAAACCTGACAAGGCCAAGAAAACTAAACCACAGTTTCCCTCACACCCAGACAAAGCTATTCAACATAAAAGCAAAATCCTTTCTGGGGTAGGGATTCTTGGTCGGGGTAGGATAGGGAAGAGTAAAGATGGTTAGAGATTACAGAGGGCCATGAGTTCCCTGTCCTGGTTTACACTTCAAAGAACTCCTGCCTTGTCTCTGCAACAGAATCTTGTAGAAAGAGGCAGAGCTGAATGAAGTGATGGAGTCATTGCTCTTTAACGCCAAGTTGGATCACAAGGCCTTCACCTGTCCCAGGAACTGTTAGAAATCACAATGACAGGTCTGCCTCTGGCTTTGGTTTGGCCAAGACACTTGAATCTTATCATTAAAAATGTGCTGGAATAAAACCAAGTTAGTACTCTCAAGACTTTAGAAATAGAGGCTTCAAGGAAGAGAAATTTTGAGTAATCCTAATTGTGATATTACACATCAAAGCTCACAGAAGGAAGTTACAGGAAGCCAGTAACTTAAAGAGAAAAATGGAAAGATTTTAAACACACTAGGAGATCATTTTGTTCTTCCTCATCAGTCATGTGTAAAAAAATGAAGGCTGAATTCCCCTAGAGTCTGAGGAAAGAGCAATAGTCAAGTTGTTTCCACTCAAATTTTTAGTCCAACATTCCACTAAAGAAATACGTATTTGGATAGGCAGTCAGGTTCTGTTGGTGGAAGTCAAAAGAGGGGTCCTAAAAGGGGCAGTCATGATGTCTGCTCAGTTGGGCCCCCTGCTGGGCATTATCAGAATAAAGCCAGACTGGGTTAACAGTCGGTGGGTTCTCATCAGATAACAGATGGAAAAACAGGCATCTGTTTTGAACTGAGCAAAAAAGAAGGACCTAATATTTTTTTACCTAGCCCATACCATGGCTCACTAAAGCCTGAAATGAGTTATATCACAACACAGATAGACTGCCTGTGGGATGTGTGTGGAGTAAAACAAATGTAGTCAATTCTGAACTGGGTCATGCGCATGAAAGCAAACAGTGAGGCAATATTCAAAAAAAAAAAGCAAAATCAGAAAAATCCCTTATTTTTGGTTATTGAATACTGTATTATTTAGGAGGTATCAGGTACCTTTGTGTTTGTGTTCTGCATGTAGAAATGTGAAAATTAGTGTATAGCTGCTAGATACACATCAACTGGTAGAGGAGACACTGGAGTAGGAGAAACCAATCAGCTTGGAATGGAATAGTTCTGTAGATAAGCTCCAGGTGGCAAATTTAGAGATAACTAATCTTTAGAACATCAAGGAATGGACAACAACTCATTTATGGAAGGGGTAACTACAAGTGATACTACTTCACGTAACCCAGTACACACAGTTAGAAGTCCCCAACCCCTGACTCTGAGGCTCTTCCCGCTCAGTCAGGCTACTTGTCCCAAGCACCTGCATTTCAGATCAGAGTGGACTGGAGAACATGAATGGCGTGACAAAAATCTCTAACTGATCAGTGCCAGACTGTCAAAAGACTGTTTAGAACAGTTTACATGCTTTGAAGATTGAGACTGACATCAGGGAAGCTTACCCTTCCAAGGAGCGTGTGTCTGTGGCTGGAGGAAGAACCATATTTAGTGAAAAATGATGGTATTTGTCTCAGTGTGGAACTGTTGGGCTTTCTGCAGTGCCTCCTGCTGATATTTTTTGGGTGCTCTCAGTATAGGACAGTTAAGGGTATGGGCTCTAGGATCAAATCTGAGTTTGAATCTCACCTTGAGCATATTTTTCCTCCCTGTTCCTTCTCCTGCTAGCTTACACAAGCAACATCATCTTCTGAGTCTCACTTTCCTTACCTATAAAATAAAGATAATAATTGTCCTTGCCCTAT